GTAGTTCAGATATTCTATATTTGAAGTAGGTAGTCTGGAATTAAATATAGTTATGACAGGTGCATCAGTTATATTTACATCTCCCTTTGAAAATGCAAAGTAGTGGCTACAAAATGCCAAATTACATTTATTTGTGTTACAGAGGACACAGTTACCTACACTGGCTCTCAGAGAAATGTGTTGTATGCTATGGACTTCATTGGCATTATCATGACTCAAGGATTCATTTTTGTTTCAGAATACTTAACCTGAAAAACCACCAAGAATGTTGTTAATGCTCTGGAATTGCCAGGGAGGTGTAGGAACCGTAGAATAGATGTACTTACTTTTCAGTCAGAATGGTTGCTCTCTGTGACTGGATAATGTATGCCATGACCCTACTCAGTTAACTAACCCATGTGAGTAACTTTGAATGCCTTGGTGGGGACAATCCAGTCCTGGATGTCTCCAGCTTCTGGACAAGTGAGAAAGTTCAAGTACCCTCAATAGTACCTTTTGTTTTGAATACTTTACTACACTGTTCTCTTTAGCTGGCTGGGTATAAATTAAGGGGCAAAGAACCTTTTTGAGTCTTAGAGTCACTTACTAAAAAAAAGTTCCATTTGTATTAACTTAGTACAGCCCCTAATTCATCAAGCTCTTTTTTCTTTTTGTTCCCAAATGATATAACTGGTTTAGAGCTGTTAATGTTAATTTGTCCTTCATGGACTTCTGTCAGGCTGGGCTGTCTCAGCTGAGAATTACTTGAGACCAAGTGGCTTTCTTTGTCCCTTATAACCCATTCCTAGTAACTCATTCATACTCCAGTGCCAGAGAGTTCCCCTTGTTATTTCATATTGAACCACTGTACAATTGTTTGTTCAGAGAGATCTGTATACCTTGTAACTCTAGTAAAGTGCCCATGTAGTTTCAAAGCCAGGTTCCATATGTGCAGGGATACAGCTTGTCCTGCACTCTGCAATTTCCAGATTAGTTCTTAGATTTGAATCCAAGAAAGGTGGTCAAGAAGTGAATTTAAAGTATGGTGAAATGCCTTCCAGAAAGTCTTGAGCTGAAAGCACACAATCTATTGGGCTTACTGAAAATATTAAGGAGAAGTGCCATTGGCAGGACTTGCCACTTAAATCTATTTTTTAACTAAACTGGTGGCTCCAGGGTCCCTAACAATGGCTTAGCTCCTCTTTGGTGTTTCCATGGAAGCCCGTCCAAGCCTGCTTTTTGACTGTTTGAACAATGTGATACAACGTATTATTGACAAAGCCAGAGCAGCTTGAGGCTATTGATGTATTCTGAATGTGTATCTAAAAATGAGAAACACAAGGATAGCTTGCATCCAGAAGATTTTTATAACTTTTTGCAACCAGTTCAGAAGTGAAGCATCTGCATTTTCCTTCCTCTAAAGTGAGGTAATTAGAGCTACTCAAGCCAGAACCTTTCCTGGTATCAAAATTACAAAATAGAGGTTGTCATACTTTGGACACATCCTGAGATGGCAAGACTCCCTGGAGAAGGCAATCATGCTAGGGAAAATCGAAGACTGAAGAAGAAAAGGAAGACCAAATAAGAGATGGATTGCTTCCATAAATTTCTATAGGCCTCGAATTTAGGACATCTAAGCCAGGATGTCATGCACAGGACATTTTGGAGGGCTTTCATTCAAAGGGTCACCATAAGTCAGAGATGACTTGTAAGCATATAACAACAATTATAGCTACACCTGCTTTTTTGACCTTTTTTTGCCCCTAAGTTCACCTTTGTCACCAGACCATTCATTTCAGTTAGTTGTATAGCATTCCTATCTGCTGCTCTTACTTTTCCATAGTGCTACCTTCCTCTCCTTATTTGGCAAATGCTGATGTCCTTAATCTTTCTCTCTTTCCTTTTCCCAGTAAGGCTTATTAGAGCTAGTGTACTGGTTCATTTTCCTCTTCTCAGAACACACACATTTGTAGAAGAACAATTTAAAAAAAGTTTTTGCTTTTGAATTTTAATACTGTTTGCGCTAATTCCCTAATTTTAAAAGCAGTTATTCCCCATTTATAAGAATAGAGTGCATAAATCCATTGTATGCCCACTGTTCTTCTGGTTAAAGGTCCCCATAGGCTCTCATTGGTCTACATGCAAGTTGTGTCTCTGCATAAGTGAAGATTCATGGCAACATCTTCCTGCTTTTGGGTTGTATTAAAGCAGGAGGTACACATATTTCTAGTAGAGAGATTAATAATTTCCCCCATATGGAAAGTCCTGTGTTACGTCCCATTTGGGGGAAAAGCATCATCCTAGGAGTGATGTATACATATGCTCTCTTCATATAAGACATAGAATCGGGAAAGGAAGCATAACTCATGCTTTTTCTATTGCCATTTCTATAGAATGTGCCAAGTGGCTCATAGAAAGGTCATGCTATTTTATATTTTAAGAATGTTCAGAGCTTCAGTATTGAATATACAGAACACAGAAGAATTTAGTTTCCAAACTTGAGTCTCTGAATTGGATGTATGTGAGGTTTGCAGATATGCATATTTGAAAATGGCTCTGAAAAGACATGAACATTAAACAGTTATCTCTTTTGATGCTGCTTTTAAAGGTTATGTTTATAAAGTGTTGCATTCCATGGAAGGAATTTGATTTAAGGAGACAGAGATACGAATGTTTTTATGTCTTTGATATTGTTGTTTCTTTCTTGTTTTAACTTTGTAGCAGTTTGATAGTACAGGTAAAAACTTCTTGTTTTTGTCATTGGAAGTTTATGTTAAGCCATTTGAAAGCAATGATTAAATGTATGGTTCTCTTAGAATCATAGGAACAGTTAAGTTGAAAGGGGGCAATAAGGCCATTGGGTCCAACTCCTTACTCAATGCAGGACTTAAGTTAAAGAATCTCTAAGACATGGCTGTCCATCTGCAGCTACTTGCATTCACACCCCAGTCACCCTCAGGAGAACTTCTGTCAAAGTTAAAATAGCAGAGAATTTGTCAAAAGGATATAACTATTGCAGTACTACAGTGGTATTGTAATAATATAAAATACTAAACATTTGAATTTTAAAATACTTATGTACCCATTCTCTATTTAATGAACCACAAGGTAGCTGCATTAAAATTAGGAATAAGCATAATAACAAAATAGAAGGTACAACAAAAATGTTAAAATTAGTTTTAAAAAAAGTAAGAGCAGCTGTCTGTCCACATTCCCTAAAGTCCTACAATAAGTCTTAATTTGCTACAAAAATTCATTGATGAGGGAGCCAAGGGTCCCTCAGGAAGGAGAACCACAGTCTAGGAATTCTTACTGAGAAGGCCCTGTATACTTAACCCACTTCCATCAGAAATGGCAGGGGAACATGAATGACCTGAATGGCACTGGCTTGATCATATGGAAGAAGACAGTTTGTACTGTACCCTAGCATCAGATTTCTTAAGTTTTAAATTTCAGTATCATCATTTTGAATTGGGTCCAGAATCTATCAAACAGATACAATAGAATACTAGAGTAATGTGTTCTGTGTAGTGAGAATTGGTCTTTGCATTCCAGACTTGTTTCCAAATGCTTCTCAAAGGCAGATCTGCATAGACTACATTCAAGTTTGTTTAATCTGGACAGTGGCAGAATATGAGTGACAGTGGTAAGACGTTATTTATTGAGTACATGGTGCAGGTGGCTCAGCAGCCTAAGCTGGTGAAATGAGCTCTGGCCTCAGCTACCATCTAGGCCAAATAAGCAAGTACAAAACTGTTGTGGGCTGGCAGCGGAGGCATGGGAAACTCTGTACTCCTTGTTAAAAGCTCGTGGCATTTCTCTGTTGGGTGCAGGAGAAGAGGCTTTTTTCTCCCGCAGCCCGCTTATTTGCTATGCTAGGCATAAAAGTGAGCAGCAGTGGCGTGTACTCTGTCTTTCAGCCAGCTACCTTGCCTATATGTGCTTCCTATATGTGCTAACAAGGAAATGCTTAAATCCAGAGTTGCCCTAGGCTTATAGAAGTAATAGCAAATCTGGTAGCTTTTCAAGCTGTGAATCCATATCTTAGGGAGTAGATTGATCGTAATCGTTGTACACCTCATGATTTGCAAGTCTTCAACAATTCTTTCTCTCTGTATTAGGGTTCAGTTTTTTATCATTCTTATGCACCACACACCTCAAAAAGAGGCTTAGAAACTAATTTGCCAGCCCTAGTGAAAATGAGAAATAGAGCTGTACATTATCAGCTGGGATAATTACATTACGTTTATTGTCAGGAGAAAGAATTTAAGAGGGATAAATAAAAGATATGGGAACTCACTTTTTGTTGCAAATACATGATTGGGAGCATATTAGGCTTGTAACAGCAACTAGTCTGGGTACCTGAGTTAAGCAAGAATTTATCTTTCACAATTGAGTAGCACAGACAGGAGTGTTTAAGCAGGCTATTAAAAACAGCATCAACCAAAGAACTGTGAACTAGTAACTTGAATGGGTTTGTTGGAATGTACTTTAGGAGAATGGTTAAGTAAACATTCCTATTTTTGATTAGTATAATTCAAGACTTAGGAATATGCAAAAACCAGAAGACTTGAGCTTGGTCCAGAAAAAATGTTTGCTTAAACCCCTTTCACTTGCAAAAGAAGGAAAATGGAATTATCTGCTCAAACTTGAGAACAGACAGTTCTGAAGTTCTTACTTAAGTCTGTCTTCTCTAAGAAACAAAATATAAAGACTACTCTTTGCTTTTGTTTTACCATGGGGATTGAGCTCTGTCTTCTCCTACCTCTTTTCCTTGAGAACTTTTCCTGGGCTAATGTACATCAGCATATTTGTTTTTAAGACTGTTTAAACCCCACAATGTTTCAGACTTTATTTTCAGTTTGGGAATTTGAGTTAAAGTCATTCAATTCGTGATGACAAAAGGTTGGGTCTTAACAGAACATTTCAGCTGGCGGGCTGTTTTTAGTTACTGCTGTAGCTAAATGTTAAGTCACAAACCACATAGTTCAGCTCCTTTTTTGGTGCTCCCTCAGTGGGAATTGAAGGCATGCCATGTTCCTTGATTCTTCTGTGATTCTGTGTTGGTTGTAGTTACTTGCTTAGAAGATTAAGTATCCTTGCAAGATAATTGGCTGCAACAGAAAGGTTTATCTCTATGTTCATCTGTGTTAGGTTTAATGTTTTAAAGTGGTAATGTTCAGTCTGATAACTTGAGGTTCATTGTGCTGCAGTCTCCACAAGGACACTTTCCCTTTCTTCAGCATCGGCATGGAAGGACCGCATCTAGACAGGGAACTGCTTCCTGTATGTAAATACTTTCTTTCAAACAAATGTTTATCTTTTGAAACTGCTGGAACAGAACTAGTAAACAGAACCAGAACTGTAGGTGTGCACTATTGCTTTTTCATTGTATGATATCCTAAGACAGCAGGCTATTCAAAGAATCACTGGCAAAACTTTTGCATGCTTTTGTAATATTGGTGTTCAAGTAGCAATAAAATTGACATACAAATAGAAATTCAGTTGCATATTCTTCATAAACTCTTCGTAGACGTCCTTAGCTGTAGAAAGAGTGCTGCCATTGAAAAGTTTGAATCAAAAATTCTTAATAGTACACATTAAGTATCATCTCCTTTGTAGGGAGACGGCTAAAATAAATAAAACATGACATCTTATGAAATGGCACTAGATCTTAGCCAAATATATCTCCATCATATCCCATCCCATCCTTTCTTCTGCTATCATGTTGCATTTTTGCTAAGTTTATATTAAACTTTTCAAACTTGGTGTCATTTAAGTTTCTTTGATAGGTCTTTTGTATTTCAATGCTGGGGGCATTCTTTGTGAAACTGCTGTTATAGTTCAGTATGGAGAACAATTTAATTTGAACCCCATGGAACAAATCTACTGGTAGAAATTTCTTTAAATTTGATACTTGTGAAGTTTGAATGGGTATGCAAGGAATAAACCTCATCTTCCTTCCCCACCTTTCTATGTTGTTGCTTTCTAATGGACTTTATCTTGCTATGGTCTAGATAGCTGTTACTAATTTGGATACTGATTTAATCTGATTTAAGGCTAATCTGCACCCTTCCTGGCATTAAAATAAACTATGTAGCTTTTTTATTTGTTTTGCTGTATGTAAAGAAAATAGGTATTAGTTTGAGAAAGGTAGATAAGGTATTGATGCTAAATACATTTTTTATCACACGAACATTTATAACTTAATCTCAGGTAATGATTTTCTTCTGTGCGTGTATATATTTGCACTGTTTTTGCCTTTTACACTAAACCATGGTAAACTGTTTCTAGGTTTTAGAACTACAATTCTGTAAAATATCTATGGTTTAGCAACAGTACTTAATACCATAATCTTTACCTTAGTGAACTTCCTGTCAAGTGTAAACTTAAATCTGGATGATTTGACTTGCGTGCAATGTTAGCTTTTACTTTTTAATGTAAGTAAGATCATTTTAGTGTTCCTCTTACATGGAAAAAGCAATATAACCTGAGATATATTTTTATATTATATTCCTTTTGGGCAAACAGTCTTACAGCTGATAGTATAGTTTCATTAAAAGGTAGGGTATTCATGATAATATTAGAAAAACATTGAAAATATGTAAGTATTAAAATCAAATGGCCATGCTTTGATCAAAAAAATAATTTACAAAATTTTAAAAAAGGTGTTTAGCTTTACTTAAGAGACTTGGTGGCTTACATTAATGTGACTGAATTTTGTATACTTTCAAAAATTACAGTGTTCTATTCATTCTTTGTGGATCTTGTGTTCATTCTTTCTTTGACTGTGCTATCAGTTTGTTTTGTGTTTGTTTTGGTGCCTGAGGAGATTCAAATTCCTGTTGCAATGAAAGACATTCTACAAATTATCATTACTTGAAGGCAGGAGCCCAGAGGTTACCAGCATCTAAAGGCAGAATGACTTGAATGCACTGAAGGAGGGTTCCCTTAATTTCTTCCCTTGTACCATTTTCCTGATAAAAATAACTCTCTGAAGCTGTCATTATTCTCCAGTGGGAAAATATATATGTGTACAGTTAGGTTTTCTAACCATGCCAAATAGCAATTGGTGTGCAGAAAGAACTTTTTCACTGGGGGAAATAGCAAGTAGGAAAACTTTCAAAGCCTCCTCCACCTGTGCCATGACCACATTTCAGGTTTTTCCTCCCCAGATACAATTTTGGGAGAAAATATCTTAGACTGAGATGTGTTTACATATTTCTGTCACATGTAGTTTTGCCCTTAAGATGAAGTTCTGCTGGCCATTTGGATGGCTGAGTAGTGTTGTACTAGTTAAAGTTTGTGGCAAGCAGGTAGAACCAGAGACATGTGGTGACGGCATATAAAAGTTTTAAATAAACAAATAAATAAATAAATAGTATATTGGCAGTCAAGTTTTTGTTCAAATGACTCTTCTTCATGGTCTGCACTCCATTAAAGTTTAAATTTTACATTGCAACTGGAAAGCATCATATAGTTTCACTTTTGTGCAAAATGTTAATATTGCAACATGTGTAATAGAGATGAATGAAACCTGTCCATCCTGGTTGAGGATGAGATAGATCTTTCTGGGCCTTTTTGGAGAAAAGGCTTATTTTGTTTGATAGCTTTTCCAAAGTTGCACTTATAATGACTGAGTTTGCATGATGCAACAATTCTTTGTAGATAACTAGTCGTGGTGGGTTGTTATATTGTCTGAATTTGGACAGCTTCCTGCATAGTGGTTTGTTTTGAGGTAACATGCCATGCTAACATCCCATGGCTTCTTCTGGGGTAGTTGAAGTCATGATGGGTTGACACGTGTTTTAAACCAAGAAAACTGATAACATCATGTGTTGTGGGAAGCTGTGAACAAGTGGCTCAGAAAGAGTGGCAATGTTTCCTTACAGCCCATTATGATCTTGCCAGTGGGTCTGCCAGTGACAACCATTCCAACCAATGCTGAAGTAGCACTTTGGAACAGCAGTCACTGGCTCCTTACCTTTTGGGGAGGGGCAACATAAATGTGTGCAATGTCACCTTTGTTTTTTTAAACCAGGTATGTGCCTGTGGCTGCACAAAATGTAGAGCCTTGCCTTACCTGGTCAGTGTCCCATTAAGTGTCTGCTGGATTGGCAATGTCCATGAAGGGGCTTTTCCCTTTGAAATGGGATAACAAGCTTATCTGCCGCTTTCAAGTATGATCTAGGTTTTTTTAGTACTGACACAACTATTCTCTCACCACATTTTCCACACTTCCCTGAACCTCTAGGTATTCTGGGAAGGGGAGATCCGCATCTCATGCCCTTCTTGCAAGCACTTTCTTTTGACAGCTATTGAAAGAAAGGGTTCTTTTCTAGCCAATTTCGGCATTACATTTAGATAGGGAAAACATAAAGCTGTGACATATTCATATGTGATTTCTCACAAAAAAGCTCACATTGGCAAGATAAGTATACATCTGTGAAAGACTCGAGCATGGAGAATGAAACTGTGCATTTTGTGTTGGGGTTTTTTTTAGAGTAAGGTGCCAGTGATGGTCACTTCAAGGTGTTTGCTTGGGTTCCAGTAGAGTGGCTGGCACTGGTACAAGGCTCCAGCAAATTAACAAAACTGAATGATAGAAGGTTGCATTCAGAGCAAGGATGGACGGGGGGGAAACTCTGGAATATCTGCTGGAGAACAAAGGGGGAAAGAAGGAGAGGACAACCCACAGGAAACCTGATTATTGGGTGTACTTGAGATTGTTCTCTGAAAAACTTTCACTGTGCATTGTATTTTCAGGGTGAGTTGCCATGTTGTACAGATTTGCCCACTGTCAGCAGCCTTATCATTTTGCTAGGTTCCCCTTTCCCCTACATTTGCTAAACTTGCAGTTACCAGGGGAGTGGGCAGGGAGCTTAGAACACTAGCAAGATCTAAAGGCTTTCTTTATGTTTCTGAAAATTTCTAAGTTTGCTTGAATCTTCCTGGTGACTCTAGAAATTGTAGGTTGGGTTTTTATTTTATTTTGCTTTGGGTTTTTTTGTTTTGTTTTGTTTTGGTAATTGAGACAGGAAGAATAAAGTGCAGCACTTCCAAGAGTCAAAATTTAAGACTTCTTCACAGCAAAGAGAAGAAAACTGCATTTTTCACTATTAAGCTGAGAGGAAGGCATTTACTAAGGCAAACACTAATAGAAACCCTACAGTTCCCAGAGTTCATGTCTGTCTGCAGGAATCACTTCAGCTACTGTTTAGAGTCATCCTTGAATGCCTGGTTTTTCCTCTCTTCTCCATTTGCTCCCCTGCTGCTTGTTAAGTTTGTCAAAGTGTGAGAAATGGGGTAAGAATAGGAAAATCAGATGAGAGGACTGGTCTGGAGCATTATTAGCTGATGCAAAGTTCAATATGGGGGAGGAACTCAGCTAGGAAATTTCTGGATCAGGAGACTTTCTGTTTCCAGTTAAGATTAAAATGAATAGCAAATGGATGTTGGGCTTGGATGTTACTCATGGGGTCAGTTCCTTTGCTGTCAGTTTAATTGTATTGTGCTACAGGGCACTGTTTTGTCCCTTCAAATATCTCTATGAAACTCTTGTGAATTATCATTAGGAAATAGAGGACAGGGTGTCATTAGGATCCCGATGATACCTAACTCTTATTTCTTTGTAATGTCTGAGTCAAAAGAGACCATACACATTTTGATGGACCAATGCCTGGATGGAGTTAAGGACTGGGTATGAGCCAAGGAATGAAGTGAATCCTAGTAAGGGAGACCCTGTGGGTTGGTGACGCCTAGGTACAGGAACTTTCCTGTCTTGGATGGGCTGTACTGCTCCCTGATAGAGCAATATGAAATGTTTCTGGATACACATTTGTCACTGATGACCCAGGTGATTTCAGTCGTGCCCATTGCCAACATCACTTGATGCATCAACTGTGTCTATTCCAGGATAGGATAGGATAGGATAGGATAGGATAGGATAGGATAGACACTGTGGTTCTTGTACTGGTAACCTAACAATTTGTTCACTCTAACATTCTCTGGCTTGTACTTGATTCCTTATATTCTACTGTATTTTACTGTTCTTTGTATTGTTTTTGCATTTTTACTGTAGAAATGGAATAGAACAGAACAGAAGTAGAGTTGGAAGGGGCCTGTAAGGCCCACTGAGCCCAATGCCCTGCTGTACTTCCACATGTGGTCACCCATCCAGATGTAAGCCCATACCTCTCCAGCTTAGCAAAGGTGACTTGACATGCTAGGACAATGTATAGCTATGGAGGCAGAGCTACAATTGCAAATTATAAACTAAATTACTA